CTAAAAAGTTGGTTTTTCCAGCAAGCCAGCCTGGCCTGAGCAAAACAAATCAAAGTATTGATTATTGTTAATTTTATTTGGGTTTGGGGGGTATCCTATGTAATTTCTTTTTAACTTTTGTAGTATGTGTTTCTTTTAATGTTGTACGCCGCCCTGAGTCCTTGGGAGAAGGGCGGCATATAAATCGAGTAAACCTCAAACCTCAACCTTTTTGGACTGTTGCCCTCTGGCAGAAGATACAGAACAATTAAAACCCAGACCACACGTCTTCTGAATAGTTTTTTTTATCCCAGAGCTATAATTGCACTCAACAATGAACTAAAGGGTCACCATCAGTAGTGAACTGTTGGACAGCTTTACTTGGTATGTTGTATGGATGCTTGGGTGGTTTAGGGGCGGGGAATTTTTGGTGTGTGTTTGTGTGTGTGGGATTGTCAGGAGTGTTGGACCTGGTCTTTGGGTGTTATGTAAATTTCATTGCATGGGTATACTGTGTATATCCGTACAATGACAATAAAGTAAAGTAAAAGTAAAATATGATATGGTAATGGTAATGGTTATGGTTATGGTAGGGTATAGTATTTAGTATAGGTAGCAAATTGACACAGATCAATACTTTCTGGTGATAACAAATGAAGTTACAATTTGATGATTTTGGGAATTGGTGTAACATAAAACATTGTAATATTCAAAAGATGAGATGATCAAGAGTCTCACCTCAAGTTTATATGCTCTTTCCCTGCTGAGAGGTTCTAGAGGAAAACTCAGATTGTTTGCTTCTGCTAAGGAGCGCAAGTCAAAATAATACTTAGCATAAACACTTGAGGGAACATTGATGTTGAACTGCAGCAACTCAAGAAATTGGCGTTCCAATTCATTCCTGAGAAATAGAGACAAAAAGGAAGAAAAATTTTATTTGCCACAATTCACAACAGGCTGAGCTGAGTGAACAACAAACAAATAAAATGTGAGTTATTTTTAATAGCAAATGCCTTCAAAGTTCATTTTTCTTTACTTTGTGTCTGTCTTTCTTATATATTTAAATGAAAAAGATGTCTTTCATAATCACTAACCATATAATGTGATGGAATATTGGACTCTTTACTAGAGACATACCAATCCTATTCTTACTTATGGTTTGCTGGAATTGACAAGCTTTTGTTTGTTTATTTATCAGAAATGTTAGACATAGACTAAGTTAGTTAAATTTATTTCACTATGACCTAAACTTTAATCCGTTTATCCAACAGAATCTAGGTTAAGCTAATTTGGTTGGGTCTAACATTGTGTATTACATGTATTTGTATTTACAAGTCATCCTCGATTTATAACAATTCATTTAATCACCATTCAAAGTTACAACTCTGAAAATAGTGACTTATGACTAATCCTCACACTTACAACCAGCACAGCATCTCCAAATTCTTGTGCTTGGGAACTGGCATATATTTAATCCTAAAATCATATGATCATCATTCACAACTTTTCCAGATAGTTTCCAACAAGCAAAGTCAATAGGGGAAGTTTGATTTGCTAAATAACTATGTGATTTATTTAATGACTGATCTGTTCTGTTCCGCCTCATTCATATTTCATTTCATTCATATTCCATTCCATTGAATTCATGAAAATTTTAATCTCTTGTTCCCCAGATTTCTTTGTTCCCAAACTGAATTGTCTTTTATTAATCATGCTGCTCCATATGTGTAGATGCTATTTTATTTATAACATTGTAAGCCACTAAGACGGACACGGTGGCTCAGTGACTAAGACGCTGAGCTTGTTGATCAGAAGGTCAGCAGTTCAGCAATTCAAATTCCTGGCACCATGTAACGGAGTGAGCTCCCGTTATTTGTCCCAGCTTCTGCCATCCTAGCAGTTTGAAAGCACATAAAAATGCAAGTAGAAAAATAGGAACCATCTTTGGTGGNCAACCCTGAGCCGGTGAGATTTGAACCGCTGAACTGCTGATCTAGCAGTAGCCTGCAGTGCTGCATTTAACCACTGCGCCACCTCGGCTCTTTACTGTACTGCCAAACACATCATAGTTGTATGGTGTAAACTTTAGAGACACCCATTAAAACAGTCTGCTTGGAAACCAAGGCATGAATGAATCAATAAACTATTACCAATATACTCTGCGGAAATCTCTACATCGTTTGGGAAATGAGTTTGGAGTAGAGAATAATGGATAGTATAGTATAGTAAAATATAGTATAGTATGGTGTGGTGTGTGGTGTATGGTATGTGTGGTGTGCTGTGCTGTGATATGGTGTGGTATGATATGGTGAGAAAATTGCACAACATTCTCAGAGACTCTTCCCAACCTGCTTACAATCTTTTTGAATTTTAAAGTTTTAAATTGCGCATGCCCAAGATGGTGTCTTGTCGTGTTTGAGGAGAGCTTCGGGGAGATGATTGTCCTTCTTAGGGGCTTTCAGGGGTACCCTATTCCATTGTTGGTTCCAGGTCTAGCTATGAGACCTTCCTGGGACCTCGGGGATACCCTTGAGCTGCGATTTACTGCTTCATAGCCGGAACATCGTGAGTGAAAGGGGGTGGCTGGCGGTGAGAGAATAAAGATCGTCAGTGGCTGCCGATATGGGTGCAGTCAGCGGCGGCGCGCCCGGCTTGGGATCTCTGCAGCCGGCGTGGATGGGAACGCCCAGCCTGAGGTCTCTGAAGCCAGCGTGGGTGTGCTCAGCGACAGTGGCGGGTTGCCCGGCTTGGGATCTCTGCAGCCGACGTGGATGGGCTCACGCCAGCTTCCTGCTACCCCCCTTGAACACAGCTGGCATGGGTATGGTCATCAGAACGCCCAGCCTGGGGCCTCTGAAGCCGGCGTTGGTGTGTTCAGCAGCAGTGGCGATGGGTCGCCCGGCTTGGGATCTCTGCAGCCGGCGTGGGTGTGCCCAGCAGCACCTTTCCACTACCCCCCTTGAACACTGTCGGCTTCCACCCCCCATGGACATGTCATCTCCTCGTTCTATCTCTCCGTGATGTCATCCCATTTGGTTGATGCCACATTCTCCTCTATGCTATACTGCGACAGAACTTTATTCCCTTCGGGAACTGTGCGGTTGTTGTTTGTTTTTAAACTCTTTTGTAGTTGTCTGTTTGATGTTTTCCCCTTGTTTGTATTCCCTACCTGATTTGTGAGCCGCCCTGAGTCCCTCCGGGAATAGGGTGGCATATAAATGCAATAAATCCAAATCCAAATCCAAATCCAAACTCCCCCTTTCCCA